CTAATTTTGGCTTATCAAGATTTTTCCTTTTTCTTTTAGTGGATCCTTTGCAATATATATATATATATATATATATATATATATATATATATATATCGCATAAGATCGTTATATTTCATCTATATATTTTATATTTATTGATCTAATATTATAAATGATGGAATAGGTTAATTCTATCAAACAGTTTCCAGTAGCACTAGCATGCGCAAGCCAAATGAGGAGCATAGGATAGGGGTGAGCAAACGGTTAAACGGTTCGGTTTTGTACGATTCGGTTCGGTTTTCGATTAACCGAATCAAGGAAAATAAAAACCAAAACCGAATCAAAATAAATTCGGTAAATTCGATTTGTAACCAAATTATTTCGGTTCGGTTTCAAAATATTTCGGTTTTAACCGAAATGTTTTACTCGAAAAAAAAATTCTAGACCATTGTTTCATTATCCGTCCTAAGCCACCATCATTTTCACCATTTATTATTAAAAAAAAAAAAAAAAGACAATAAGAAAACAAAGCCTTTACATAGGAAATATCTTTTGAAGCTACCTAATCACAATAAGAAAACAAAGCTCTTACATAAGAAATATCTTTTGCAGCTACCTAATCACAAGTTGACACACTCGAATGTCCTAAATGAGAGAAGAAAAAAAATGTAGTTGTCTTCCTTCTTTTGCTTATTCCGAACTCATCAAGCACCGACAACATCCTAATTCTTAATTTGACCTCTATGATCTCCTTGCTTATCTTGCTAAAAAGCCATTGGGAATGAACCGCAGGAAACAAAATTTTAGACCGAATTAGTCACCGTTGAAGATTATAATTTTCCAACATCAATCACTATCATAACAAGATATATAAAGCAAGGTAAAGGTTACCAATATGTATAACATCCCTAATAATTTTACAATCATCATTCCCACTAAAAAATGTAGTCTAAAAGATTTTCATTAGCAATTTTGTGCAAGTAGAAAAAAATTAAAACAGACTTTCTTTCGGCTTGTAAAATTCAAGCTCATAGAGACCTAAAACCATCTTGTAATAGTAAGTTAATTTCATTTGATTGTCTTGCAAAGAAACAACTAAACTTGTAAAAGACAATTGATTGCAGTTAGTCATCAATTTTATTTAATTTTTTCAATTGATAGTTGACCAAATTAAGAATCTTAGAATTCATGAATGCCTCCTCCAGCTCGATGAAGTGATGATGAAGGAGAATCGGAGAAGATGGAGCGAAGGATAGGGAGCTAGGGAGGCGTCGCTAAAAATTGATTTTGATTTAGTGAAGTTAGCCAATTAGGGTTAAAAAAAAAAAAAATTTTTTTTTTTTTTTTTTGCTTTTAATTTTTTCGGTTTTCGGTGAAAACCGAATTTTTTTTCAAAAACCGAACCGAACCGAAATAATTTCGGTTTTTCGGTTCGGTTTTTAATTTTGTAAATTTAAGTTTAAAACCGAACTAAAATACATAATTCGGTTCGGTTTGATTCGATTTTCGGTTAACCGAACCATTTGCTCACCCCTAGCATAGGATGCCGATTTTAACATTGATAGGTCCAATTTCTATTCGGCTGGAGTTGGGAAAGGCTCCACGCCTGCCAAACTCAACAAGTAAAAATGGGTCCATGGCATGTCATCAATAATACTACACAGCTATGGCACTCAACTATAGCATCATGACTTGACAGGAGTGAATTATAAATGGCTAAAAAAGTCTGACTCATGCACTCCTAAATTTTAAGTAATTTGTGATTGAATTTTTTATTTTTTTTATTAACTGTAGAGATTTCTAAATTTTTAATATTTTAAGATTTAATTCATCTAATAATTTTTAGCTATCGTCTTCTCCTCTAAAAAATTTAATTTTTGATATTTTGGGTTGAAATTTTGCATGCACATTAAAAAAATTCAATTCATTTTCTGGATCAAATTTCAAAATTAAAAATTATATATTTTTATTTTTAAAATATTAAAAATAAAAAAATAAAAAAACTCCGAAATGATGCCAAATTTTTTTAAGAGATCCATAGAAATCTCACTAAATGATTTCTATCATAAAACTATTTATGTGATTGTTATTTTTTGATGTAAATGACACAAATATGAAAAAAAATAAAAAGTTTATAGATCTTTAAAACCGATATAACTTCAAATAACTTAAAGTTCATAGGTGGTTAGATCCTTTTAACCATAATAATCAATCCCTAAACCAATCAATTAATGTTTTTGTTTCAAAAACTAAGTATTCAATTTCTTAATCGGTATAAACCATGATTTATTTAATATTAATTTATCTAAAGAAAAAAATCATCTCTTCTCATCATTTCGTTCACATTTTTTTACTTTTTTAAACAAAAAATAAAAATAAGTTAAAAAAAGAAATGAGATCCGTTTAAAAATTAATTATTCAGTTTTTTAATTAGTATTGATCACGTTTGTTTTAATTTTATTTTATTTTTAAAAATGTCATATTTTCTCAACAATTCTTCCATATTCTTCTACTTTTTTTTTTTTTTTTTTTTGTAAAACAAACAAACAATACTAATCAATTCGTTTTTTAGAACTAAAAGGACTAATTTATAATTTACTCCACTTGATAGCCAGCAATGAAGCAAACAATACCCCCAAAAACAACCCCAAAAAAAGCTAAAAAAGGGGGCATGATTTTTTGCGACGCTGGCGTTCCCATGGGCTTGGGCTGGAAATTCATTGTCAAATGCACATGAATTATGATAGTGAAGGGAGGTAAGGTTTCTTGCTCAATCCAAAAAGACAAAGTCTTTGTGGGGCCCACCATAGGGCCCCACCATTTTTCATTCTCAACCGTCCAATGTGCCCATCAAGACACCGAAAAACACTGCTTTTCCGAACCCATCATCCTTAACCATCAATTATGCAAAATGGTGGGTTAATTTTATAATTATTAATTCATTATCATGCATTACCTCTCCCGCATCTCCTGCTTTTTTAAAAAATAAAAAAATACCGCCTGTCCACCTGGCATGATGGTGACATGGAACGGGGGACCCACTTCAAGTGGAAGCATACACGTGTTGGCTGTGAAAGGACATGGAAATGAATAGAAAGAGGTTTACTGTAAGTACCCACGTGGACTGTGGGGCCTGGCTAATTGGGATTGCAAATCAACATTGTCAAACAAGATGAGTTCATGTGTGGGAGTGGGACCCATTGAAAGAAGATAATGAAATCTGACGTGGAATAAAAAATTAACTCAATTCTCGTGACTTGTTTGGATCTTAAGGTTAAAAAAACAAAAACATGAGCTAGGTGGATTGTTCACAGTAAATTATTAGAGGGTGTAATAAATGTCAATTGAATGATAAATTTATGTTAACCATGGTTAGATTGAACCCTAATCAAACATATAGTTTTTAATTTTTGATATAAATTTGTACTCAAACTTTATAAACCATAATTTACTCAATTGAAATGGATTCAAATTACATTTAAAATAATCAAATCAAACATTATTCGTTTTAATTTTTTCTCCATTCATTTTTTTGTGTTATTTAAACTCAATCAATAAATCAAGTTGGATGTTTATCAACTCAATCATGATTCATAAGTTCGAGTTTAGTGTCGAGTGAAAATTGAGATAACTAGCAATACATTTAACCTTTGTGGATATATATGTAAGTTACTTAATTTATCGACTTCATCACATTAGCAGTCTCTTTAATCCTAATCCTCCAACTTTACTTCTAAGCCTCTATCATTGGAATATTTTGACGACAATCATTTAATAAACAAAAATAGAAAATAAATTATTTTTTTTGCAATAGAGAACAATAAATTTGAAGAATATCACAATTAAAGATGAATCATAAGGTTTAAAAACAAATGAGCTAGGCGGATTGGTCACAGTAAATGATTAGAGGGTGTAATAAACGTCAATTGAATTATAAATTTATGATAACCAAGGTTAAGTTGGGCCCTAACCAAACCTATAATTTTCAATTTTTGATACAAATTTGTACTCAAACTTTATAAGCTATAATTTACTCAATCGAAATGAATTCAAATTACATTTAAAATAATCAAATCAGACCGTAGTCATTTTTTTTCTCCATATATTCGTTTGTGTTATTCAAACTCAATCAATAAATCAGATTAGATGTTTATCAACTTTTAATCATCATTCACAAATTAAAGTTTAGTGTCGAGTGAAAATTAAGATAATTAACAATACATCTAAGCTGTGGATATAGGTGTAAATTACTTAATTTGTCGACTTCATCACATTAGTACGCTTCTTTAATTTTAATCCTCCAGCTTTACTTCTAATCCTCTGTTACTTAATAAACAAAAATAGAAAATAAAACAAATTTTTTGAAACAGAGAACAATAAATCCGAAGAATATCACAATTCAAGATCAATCATTGATCAGGTAAAGATGGCATTACTGCAATACTGGCAGTTGGAAAATTACCAAAAAAGTCCATTGGGATGATCAAAATTAAAAAGACCAAAATTAGTAAATTGTCAGCAATAGTTCTAATCCAATATCCAAATTTGGCAAGTCATTTTCGCGTGATCTCCACTCTCCCCCGACCATTTTCTTTCCTCAGTCATCGGTAAGTGCACAACACTTGCTTCCAAAAGCAAGTGAAAAGCCCACCAAACATAAACTCCATTGTCTTTTTTTTTTTTTACAGTTTCTTTCAAATCTTGGCGTCTTCCATTCTCACCATCCATACTTTATGCTCGATTGGAGTCGTCATGAAATGAAGACAAAATGAACTCCAAATTCACATGAAATGAAAACTTCAGCCTCCGTGAAATACAAATGCTATATATACATGTCTCCTCCTCCAAACCCACCTTATGTTAGAGCCATTCGAATGGACTCCTGACAATATTTATTTTGCCTTAGAGCTAGATAGTGTCATAAATTCTTAATTTTTCGAAGTGGGTTTTTGTCATAACCCAGGTTTTTTTTTTTTTTTTTTTTCTCGTCTTAGTCGCAAAAACTTTTATGACACTATATGGCCAAAGGTAGGAGGCTAACAATAAGTCGCAGTGAAAGACTGCTAGGAAGTAGTTACAGCTATGGCAACGGCCAAGGACCGATGGCTAATGATGTGTCCGAGCTAGGTGAAGAAGATGTGTGGGCTATGGTGGATGACACGGCTGATCGGAATGACCATACTGTTCACAGTTCCAATGGAGCGTGGAGTCCACGCGCTGAGCTTGAGAGTAGTTTCGACAGCATGTCTATTAGCGGCGGCCATCGCAGGATCCCACGAGATGGCCGCAACTTGGGTGGGTTGTCATTGGCCTTCGAAGATTCTTCTTCTGGCAATAACAAAACAGCCGCCTCGAGAATTGTGCACCAGTTTCGTGGAAATGACCTCGTGACATCGGCGTCACCTCGTAACATGGCCACGTCAGCCCCCGTGAACGTGCCCGACTGGAGCAAAATTTATCGAGTTGACTCCGTCGAGTCGTTTAATGACTCGGATGAGGGGTTTGATGATCGCGAGTCCGAGATGGTTCCCCCACATGAGTACTTGGCGCGTGAATATGAACGGAGCCGAAAAATGGTTGGCGCCTCCGTTGTTGAGGGTGTGGGCCGGACACTTAAGGGCCGTGACATGCGGCGCGTGCGTGATGCAGTGTGGAGCCAAACTGGGTTTTATGGATGATCATTTTGTAGCTATATGAGATCAAAGTTCTTGTCACTATTGTTAAAAAAAAAAAATAGCTTATGATTTTTTCTTGGACAATGATTCGGCCGGGTTGACTCGGCTTTGAAAGTGAGTCAACTCAGTGGGAGTGAGCTCGAGCATGATTCTGAAGGACGGATGATGTGAGACTGTCATTGCTTCCATTTGTCCTTTGATTGGAATTTGGAGTTTGTAGCCATTTTATGTTAGCGGTAATTTGGTAATTTCAATCATCAAATGGTAATGCCAAGGCATATGTGATAAAAAAGACTAAAAAAAAAAAAAAAAGTGTACAATCATGTGTAAAACAAATCAACTTTTCTGAGTTAATATTGACCTTGATAGCAGATTTAGCCTATTTGTTAACCTTTATAGGACAAGAAAGTACATTCAAGTACCAAATTATAATCTCTTTATTCTTACTACCTCGTCGTCTAGTAAAAAAAAAAAAAATTATTACTCTTACGGTGAGTAAATTGTAAATTAGTTCCTCTAATTTAGAGAAATTAATTAATTAATCCTTCTTGTTTTAAAAATTAATTATATAATTCTTATGTTTTGAAATTTGTTTATAATTTAGTCTCTTTTGCTTGTGTTTTAATTTATTTTGATTTTTTTAAGAAATAAAAAAATAATAGAAAGATTGACAAGAAAATAAGAAATTTGTGAAATAAAAATAATATTAAGTTAAACATAATCAATACTAATTAAAAAATTAGATGATAATATTTAAAACAAAAGGCATTAATTAATTTATTTCTTGAAACTAGAAGGAGTAATTTATAATTTACTCCTCTTGTGGTTAATATGAGACATAGGTATCTTTAAATAATTATTTTTACGTCAGTCGAGATTAAATAATTTCTTAAAACAATTTTTGACAAAATTTTCAACATCATTGTAATATATTTAGATAAAGATAATAACCCTAAAATTCAAATTTAGGAAATTAAAGGAAAGAAATGCAGGCATTTGATTCTTACATATAATAGTTACTAGAAGATTTTGTCGTCTAACATAATGATTTGTGTTTGTGTTGATAATAAAATTATGTGATCGTTTTATCATTTGATACTCTCTATGTCTAAAAAGTGATAGCTTTGTTATATATATATATATATGTGTATGTATGTATGTATGTATTATTAGTTATAGTGTAATGCTACACAAGCTTTTTTTAAAAATATATATTTTTTAAAATATATTTTATTTATTTAAAGAAAAAATATCTAATTTAATCATGTATTATAAAATAAAGATATTTACAAAATTACAATATTTAAAATTTTGATCAGATAAATATTTTGAGATAGATATAAATAAAAAAATAAAACAATATGATAGAAAAAGTATTTAAATACATTATTAGTTAATTTAATTGAATGATATTATATTGTTATATTATATCATTGTGACAATAAAATATTTTTTCAAATAAGGTCAATTTCAATATAGTTTTACCATACTTCAATTATTTTGTCTTATTATTAATAATAATGATTACTATGAATAAACTTTCACTAATTGGATATGGAGATGCCATTTTCCAGTGCCATTTGTCTCCCACAATCACTAGCAATTAAGATATTCATATCAGGCGAATTATGTCATTACTTTAATGTTTTCTATAACGGAAATTCTATTACTTCGTTCTCAAATAAAATTTCCTCTTTATTTTTTAGTATAAATTAACAAAAGTATCTATTATTATTTCATATTAATTTTTTTTTACAATTGTATTTGAATAATGTTTCCCAAAATAAACTTTAATTAGGAGTACTTTAGAAAAATATATAATTTAAAATTTTATTTAGATAGATTTTATGAGACATATATGATAAACAAAAGGATAGATCATCTCTTCGAAATAAAAAAAAATATAATTTTTTTCATCAGACAATAAAAACTATCTTCAAATCGGTTTGCATCTAAATTGAAACCAAGTTAAGAATCGATAATAATATTATTTTTATTTTTACTCAATGATAACGAGTATTATTAAACTAGCTTTCCCATAAGTCAATATTAAGTTTTTTTCTTTATCGAATTTTTTTTTTAAAACACATTCAATATCAATTGATTGTATTTAGAAAAATAAATTTACCTAAGCACTAAAAATCAAGAAAAAAAAATTATATATTTTCTTAATCGGCAAACCTATCTTTTCATACATTTAGATTTTTTTTTTTTTTTTTGAGAGAGAATAATTGTGGGAACAAATAGCTTTTAATGGATGATGATAGATGGTGCTCTAAGGGGTCACAGGTTGAGGCAAATAGAGGGCCTGCATGGAAAGAAACAATAAAGGGGTGTCTATGCCTTATGGCTCACCTTTTTCAAGAAAAGGACTCAACTCTTTTTATTGGGCTCACAACTCACTTGAACCTAGAGCCATTGGTTTTTTTTTTTTTTTTCCTTTTTGTTATAGTTTTTTTTGGGTGATGTTAATTAATACTCCTCTACTACCATAATATTTTGGGATATTTAGTGGGTCCACAAAATTTCAGAGATGATCATCAAAATCAATGATTTCAGATTCTTAGTTCTTTTGTGATTCATGCAAGTGACATGACTTCAAAGAAAGAATGGACCAACCCATCCATCATCGCTTTTAATTACTTATTGGAAGAAGAAGTGGCACATAGTTTCAGTTGAATTCTTTTAAAAGATGCATGATTGAGCTTTTGAAAGAATAAATAAATAAATAAATAAAAAGGATAAAGAAAACTTCAAATTGGATGGTTCTGATTTGATCATTGAGATTGGAAATTTGCCAAAAACATAATAATAATAATAATTAAATAAATGATCCAAATCTGTTCCAAACCTTAAATAATTTAAGAATCAGTTTTTCAATTAAATCTTAGATTAAACTTTTTTTAATTATTTTTTATTTGAAATTAAATCTTTATATTAAGTTTTATCAAGTTTAACAGTAGAAGTAGACGTGGATTGATTGGTTGACTTTTTAATTTTTTTTAACAATTAAAAATATACTAAAAATTTATGAATGTTTTGCTTTTCATTCAAAAGCTCTTTTTTTAATATATATATATATTCTTTAATTGCTTATTTTTTTGCATTCAGGATGGAAAAAAACAAGTTTTAAAGAAAAAATCAAAACATTTATAAGTTTTGACGTCTTTTGTAACGAAGAAATTACACTTGTGTATTAGAATTGATGCAAATTTAATAGAGTGATCCAATTTCAAATAAAAAACAAATAGAAAAGAGTCCAAACCCAAATTGAAAGTTAAGAAACCCATTTTGGAATGACTTGAAAATTTAAAAAGACCTTTTCACAGGAAAATTCTAGATGGAGAAGATATTTGGGAATTAGTGGTTTCTGTTAATTCTAAAATTGAAATTATAAACACATGGCTGCAACATAAGATTGAGACTTGATGATTAAGGACTTTATGTTATCTGTTATTTTTTGATTGATAGTGACAACTGAGGAAAATGCTATGCCATTAGGTAATTTTTAAGTTCTTTTTTTTTTTTTTTTTTTTGAGCTGGTATATATGAACCATATCTTATTTTATATTTCTATCAGCCCAGTGTACATGAAACCCAATTGCCAATCGAACCCTAATTTGTTCATAAAGTTGATATATAATATAGCCCAGTTGGCTTTGTTGGACTGCCAATTGCTCTAACACTTTCTAGTTTAGGGCCTTAAGGCTTCTTCTTCTTCTAGTGTTTTTTTTTTTTAAAAAAAAACAAATTATAATTAATATTAAATTAGTATAGAATAAACGAGTATCTTCACGTCATTTAAATTAAAAAAAAATTAAAAGAAAATAGATTTGACAAAACATTTCATGATATTAATAATGAATGATAATTTTTTTAGTAATTCGTAACATCTAGTTATTTAATGTTCGAAAAATATGATTTTTTGAATTTATCTTGTCCGATTATTTTTTTTAAAATATGATTTTAATCAAAATTAAATAGCTAGGTAGATGAGTAAAAGAAATTTCCCGTCAGGGAAAAAAATCAGTATTTATCCCCTTATTTTTTAAATGATTGAATTAAAATACCTTTGTTGCAACAAAAATTGTATTTCTCCATCAAAATACCAAGACCAAGAGGCCCCTGTGATGAAGATTGAAGATCGAGTACTTGGTTAGGATCAGATTAAAAACATCATGATTTTAGGTCCTTAATTTTATAATCAATAAAATGATGGAATATGTTTGAGCTAGAAATGTTAAAATCATACTAATTATAATATATAGTCCATTTTTTATTACCAGCATGTTGAGGAAATTCACCACTTTCAAGCTGTGAATTGATCAATAGTCAAGCTGCTTGGTGTAAAGGTATTGCATTCCTCTGGGCCTTCTTATCAAAATAAAAGTCAAGGAATATATTAAAAATTAAGAATTTACGAGCAAATTACGAGTTTGGGAAACATTGCTCCTCAACAACTAATACGGTTGATCTTGGTTTTGAAAGAAACAAATCAGTAAATTAAAAATACACACAAAAAAAAAAAAAAAACGGAGACAAAAAACTATGAGTTAATTGTAAATTAGTCCTTAAGAAATAAATTAATTAGTTCATCTAGTTTTAAAAACTAATTATTTAATCATTTAACTAATGCTGATGATGTTTAATTTAATATTAATTTATTTTAAAAGAATAACTTTTTTCTCACCAATTCTTCTATAGTATCTATTTATATATTTTTTATTTAAGAAAAATAAATTAAAAAAACATAAAATGAACGAAAATGATTAAATAATTATTTTTTGAAAAAAATAATAATCTTTTTCTAAAAACTAAAAGGACTAATTTATAATTTACTTGAAAACCACTTATTGAAAAATAATTATCCGATAGGGTCATTTTTATGGAAACATCATCATAGAACTTGCCAAGAACACGCGCGAAATTAAAGCAAACCTAAAATCTGATATCAAGTTGACGCTAGTCTTGTGAAGATCAATAAAAGTCGAAACCAACAAATAACAAATACCAAAAAAGCCGCAACAACAATCCATTAATTCAATAATAAACCGAAACAGGCATCACCAATTCTTCAATAAACCAAAGCAACAAGTCAATAATCAATCCAATCCACAAGATTCAATATAACTGAAATGTAAACACTAAAGTTTGGATTGGCCAGCAAAGTAACCAAGCTTTAGTTGATTTTGGCAAGATTTAGAATCTCACCACAACCTTAACAAATAATGACCGATAGCACCATTTTGATTGATTTAGTCAAGGATACAAAAACAAGCTCTTAAGCTAAGCACAAGAATACATAATAAGAACTAATTAACCTAATCCAAATTAAATATGAATTTCTAAACAAATATGGATAAAAAAAATGTAGACTGAATAAATTTCAAACATAAATAGGAATCCTTATGCAATAAAGATAAAATGAAATATTTAAAATTAAAGTATAATAACATAAATTAAGACTGATTAATTCCGGTCAAATTGATCTTGAACCATTCCGCCAGCATGCAAGCCCACAACTCTCGGCCTAGAGGTACATGCACACTCCCTGTTAGAGATTTATTTGATTTACTTCTAAAAGACATGATAAAAATATGGTGTAATGAATTATTGATAGCAATGTCGGTAGAAAGAGATAAATGGATCGACCATGTCGGCAGCACGTGATTTTTGCCTTGTGCAAGAATAGGGATCGTGTCGTTTATATGTGTATTTATTTTCAAGTTTACGCATGGTCCACTTTGTTCTGATATGATGTTCCACAGACAATTATGGAGTAACAGTGAGTGGGCAGCTAGCCCAGTATTAATTCGAAGAAGAAACAACAAAAAATGAAAGAAGATCTCATTGTGATGATAGCAGGAAAATTTATAGAAAAGAAAGAGATGAGCTGGAAACAGTGACTTGATGTCCAAGTTGTCAGAATATACAAATAAAAACTATGAAAAGATCACGCTGATATAAATTTAATACAGTAGACATTTATGGAGTGGGAAGAGGCTTGTTACTTTCTTCATCAATAACTTTCTCTGGAAAAAATTTAACCCACCAAAACTAACGAATCTACCGATGTGTACAGAACATGCACGAAGATGACTTGTTTCATCACCGCAGTCTTCAAAAGCTGAGGGCCTAAATTCAATGCTTTACACCAATTCTATATACCCTTTTGAGCTTAAGCAAACTCGCACAAATTAAGTGTTCAATCATGGCTTCAGTTCAGACAATTCGAGATGCTCAACCAGCACAAGGTCTAGCCACCATTCTAGCCATTGGCCCCGCAAATCTAGCTAATTGTATTCTCCAGGCTGACTACCCAGATTATTATTTCCGAGCCACCAGAAGCGAGCACATGACTGAGTTAAAGTACAAGTTCAAGCGCATATGTAAGTAATATATAGGGTTGTTCTGGATAACTCTATCATGTCTCAGGGAAGTGTGTATTGTTTACCATACCGCCATTGCCTGGCAGGATTTTCATCTCCAATTGCAGTGTCATAGATGTTCACTATGACCTTATTAACCCAGTGGCCAGAAACCAGGTCTCTATCATCCTCCTCTAAATTCCATGCAGGAGGCCAAAGAGGGGGATGCATTATTGGATGTCCCTGAGACACAAGACATCGCTGAGGCTGAAATAAAAGAAAATCAATCACCAACAGCTAGCATTCATCAAGTGATCTCATCTAATAGATACCCTGTAGGAGGCAGAGGAGATCACCTGAACTTCTCGATTGAACTATCTACAAGCTTTTTTGCTGAGGCTTCTTTACAGGACGGTTTAATTGACTTTCTCCTTCCCATTTTGAACACAAACAGAATTCTCTTCCTGGACTAGAAATATCAGAAAGTAAGGAAGGATCAAAGCAAAGAAGATCAGTGAGTGAGAGTAGTTTTTGATTCAGGGCTGACTAATAATTTGATGGTTTATTAGAAATACCAAAAAGTAATCCACGCAAGGAAGGATCAAACCCAGAAGGGGAAAATATGTTTTGCTTCTTTTATTGATTCATGACTTCACAAAAAATGAGGAACTAGTCATGAGTGGCAGAGATAACATAAATAACAGAATTAGTTGACTTGATGCCTGCAGAGAGCGAGAGAGGAAGGCAATGCGAAGAGTGGGGGCGACCTAAATCCAGCATCACACACCTCATCTTCTCTGCGCTTGCTGGCATAGATATGCCAGGAGCAGATTATTAACTTACCAGGCTCCTTGGACTTGAACCGAGGATTAAGAGAACCATGCATGCTGTATCATCAGGGCTGTAATATTGGTGCAGCTATCCTTCGCATTGCCAAGGATTTTGCAGAAAACAATGCTGGTGCTCGTGTTCTTGTTGTATCTTCGGATCTAACTATTGGCTCTTTCCGGGGGCCTTCTAATGAGAACATATCTTGTCTAGTAGCCCAAGCCATTACAGGTGAACATATGTTGGAGAACATATCGTTACTCCAACATTTTTGTATCTCTGTTCGTCTGTTACCTTGTGGACTCTGGCGATTCTTGGCTTTCTCTTGGAGCCTTTGTAATAAACAAACAAACAAAAACTAATCACTATTGTTGGTATTTTGATCATCGTGGACACTTTTCCGGTGCTTAGCTGCCGGGCATGTATTCAGCATATACAGTTGGTATTTGCAGGTGGCCATTTCAAAATAATTAATCTTCAATGCTTTCGGTGATGAATGTAAACTACCGAATATTTTCTATACAGTTGACATTTCGTGAGCCCTTTTACGACCTCTATTTTTTTTTCTTTTTTATTTATCTATATCTATTGAAAAAAAATTATACCATGACCTTTTGGAAAATGCAAGATATAAATACATATAAACCCTTTATTTATCTATATCTATCATAAATATGAAATACATAATATTTAAAAAATATATTTAAAAAAAGTGATTAAGCATTTAAAAAATGCTCTCATTACCGAAGAGATAGAACTAGCTCAACACACGCGTGTTGTCGCGGATAAGTTTATTATATCTATGTTTTAATATTTTAAATAATTTAAAAATATAAAGGTAAAATAAAAATTAATTAACAGTCATTGTAAAAAAATTATTTAATTTTATGTGTGTGTATATATAATTGAATTTAAATATTTCTTAGGAATTTTTTTTATTTTGATAGATAAAAAATACATGCAATTAATTATGTTTTTTTTTAAGAAAATCAAAGTAGAAGGATGTGTTTAATCCATTTATATTAGAAGAATATTTAATTTTAATTCATGAATATTTATAAAAATAGAAAAAGTAACCATTGATCATGGAAAAAACAATTATTTTGATTAAATAATAATTAATGAAAAAAACCCAGTCTGAAAAAAAAATAGAGGGACCTTTTGGCAATATTAATTAATATTAGGAACTGTTTTATATAAAGTAATAACTTAGATGATCAAAATGTAAAATCTTATAAAATTGATAAAAAAAAATCATTTATTTTTTTGTAGAAACGACGTCGTTTTGAAAGACTCAAAACGATACTCGTTTTGGTTTAACCGTAGTTGGGGCTTAGCTACAGTGAAGCTCCGTCCGCTTTTAATATATGTATAATATAAACCCACTTTTCAAACTTGAATTTCTAAAAATAGGTTCTTTCAAATCATAGAACATAAACTAGTTTTTTGCTATTATAGATTAATGGATGAATAGACTACGCTACCAGACTCTATTAATAGAAGATTTCAATTGTCCAACGCTATCAATGGATGTTCTTCCATTTCAAATAATAAGATAAAATCTCGAAACCTTAAATCAAAAGACTTAACCTTGTAGATTCGGAGACAAATAACTTCCATGGAGAGAAAATCATGAAAACAAATTAGTTTTGAAAAACATGAGGTCCTGGTGATAGAAAATAGATAAAAGAATGAGAAAAATCTCATCCATATAAAATAAAATAAAAATAAAAATAAAAAGATAGATTGGAGACATTTTTAAAATATAGGTGTTACGTGGAGAGAAAAAGAAAACGATTAATTTACCTCTTCATCTTAATTACGGTGATCGTGAAATTAATTTACCGTCAAGTGACCACTAATAGACCAATATACATGGTGGGCTGGTGGGCTTGTAAAATAAAGTTTTAACATCGATCATGATGAGTGATGATATTAAGCCCATTGTTTTGCGGCTGGTGTGAAGGTAGTTGATACCAGCCCAGTGGACTTAATTTAAACCAACCTTAATCGTTAACTCATACGCGTTGATTTATACCAGCCTACTGGACCGGGTTGGACATTGCAAATTAAGCCTTAATCAAAGGTCAATTTATACCGAGTCTGCCTTCAGATTGTTTAGGGCCTTAGGCTCTTCTTAAAACCCTAGGGATAGCTTCATCTTCTTAATGATAAGTTTAGATATTCTGGCAATATTTAGGTAATTTATTAAATTTCTTTAAATGCATCAAACTGAAGCTGATATAAAGAGTACGTTTTTTTAAATCTTCCTATAATGAGATTTTTTAATTTTGAATGTAAATCAGTGGCGTAATACGTTTAATTTTTAATCGATCGATGAACTGTTTTTTAGGCTAAATCAACACAAATTTGATACCACTAAACAATAATTATTACTAGTTAATGAATAGTTTTATTCATTAATATTGTGCAATATAATACATCTGCTTCGCTATTAGGACTTTATTGTTTGCGAGTTATGTTTACGAGACCCATAAATAATGCACACAAGGAGCTTGTACATAAGCACACATTTTAACACCAATGTATAGGTTAGTTATAATTTGCTAAAGAAATCTATAATTTAAACAATGGGTTAATACATACCTTTATAAATATATAGGTTAGTTCTAACTTGCTAAAGAAATCTATAATTTAAATGATGGGTTAATACATATCTTTATATCATATATAAAATTTTTAATCTATCCCTAAATTTTAAAATGTTTCCAATATGTCCTTATTATTTATGCCGGTTTCTAATCTATCATTTTAATCAAAACTTTTTATCAATTTATCAAAAATTAATATTCATATCAGTATATATAAATTATTTATGTCAAGTAATAAAAACGATTTGAGTACGTGTAAATCACATACTTAATTTGATCAAAAAAATTAACTGAAATTATAAATTAACTCAACTAATAAAAATAGATTAAAAGTATTTTAAAATATAGAAATAAATTAAAAAATTAGCCTATTATTTTAGAATAGGGCGAGAGTATTAACTCTTAAATAATTTATTATTCTCCTTCCCTGGTCAAGTTATGTTCATGCTTCATGGAGATAACTTACGAAATAATGAAACCATGTTCATCTTTTTTGGGCCGGTTATGAACTCTATATCTTGTCTAATATTTATACCAGACCAGTGGACTCGATCCAAATCCAACCATAATCATAAACTGATGTTTGTGGATTCAATACCAGGCCAGTGTTGGCCTCCAGGTCTTCTTAAAATCATAAACTGATGTTTGTGGATTCAATCACCATGGGAATTTAACACCCAGATAGAGAAGGATATGGTTGTGACTATTTTCCATGGCCTTTTCTGCTAATGGGAGGCCTGGCTCAAGAAGGGGCAAACCTGGTTAGAATGTACAGCGTAGTTAACGAATCATAGGCCAGCCATCCGTTGGTTTAATGACATCGTACAGTTTGAATTATCAATTTGATCTATTCGGTTTTTAAATTATTATTTTTTAGATAAATTATATCCTTTCGTCTGATTAAATTGTTTAAGACTAATGGACAAATATATTGTGTCAATTTTTTTAAACAAAAGTATTTAAAAATAATAATAATTTAATTTAAAAGTTAAAACACATGCAAATATGTTTTAATTTTTTAAAAATAATTTTATGTGTAATTTTTTTTTCAAAACAATATCGTATTGAGTTTTTCAATCAATAGTCAGAATTTAACGATAAATTTTAATGTTTCAATCATACGAAAATATATAGTTTATTTAATTTGAAAATAAAATAGATTAAATTGATAATTGAGATCTTATTTTACAACAATTCTAATAATTTAAGATAAAATTAATATACCATTAAACAGCTATCAATGAATGTACCAACAAGATTTGAAAACCCAGACATCTGCCATATGTTCAAAAATCATAAATGGTTCACCCCCAACTGATTATTTATTTATTTATTTAATGGGATATTTTATGGTTGATTTTTATATACCAAAACTAAAGCTCCCTCACAAATCATAAGTGCTTTTTTTTTTTTTTTTACAAACTTATTTAAAGTTAAAAATTAAAAATTTAATGATAACGTTAGAAGCAAATCTACTTACGTTAACTCTTCAATACAATATTAAATTATTGAAGCATATTTTCAATTTTTTAAATTGAGTTTACATTCAATTTAAAATAAGTTATCTTTTGATTCTATCTTTGAGTAAAAAAAAAACACTTAGTAAGATTAATTAATCATTGACTTGTGATCGCTATTAAAAAAAATTGTAAAAGAAAGGAAATTAAAAAAAAAAATCCATATCTTGAGTACTAAATAATTAATTCATGTTTGAAATAAAATCATGCCACGAATATCTTAACTATGTAATCACAAATTATATAATGTTCTTCTTAAGACCCATCGTCACTTGATCAAACTGCTAATTAACTTGTGTCATATTCCTAGGGCTGATTAATAGAATAATCAAGGAGCTGGGTTAGTGGAATTAATTTATTTATTTTTTCTTTTTTTGACTTGTGAGTGGTCCTTTTCCTTGGCAAATTATGAATTAATGATGATTTGCATGATGGAGAGAGTTCATTATCTTAACCAAGCATTAAGAGTAAACCCTCCTAGGATAATCTCTCATTGTTCTTACTTAATTTTTTTAATAGGTAGAGTAATTGGAATATCTTTTTGAGGTTAAGACTAAATACCCAATTTTGAAAACCCAAATATCTGCCATATGTTCAAAAATCATAAGTGGCTCACCCCCTACTGTTTTTTTTTTTTTTTGGTTATTTATTTATTTATTTAATGGGATATTTTATGGTTAATTTTTATATACCAAAACCAAAGCTCTCTCACAAATCATAAGTGTTTTTTTTTCTTTTTAACAAAACTTAGTTAAAATTAAAAATTAAAAATTTAATGATAACGACTAGAAGCAAATCTATTTACGTTAAATCAATTTAATATTAAACTATTGAAGCTTATTTTCGTTTTTTTATTGAGTTTACATTCAATTTAAAATAAGTTATCTTTTGATTCTATCTTTGAATAAAAAATAAAAAAATCACGCAGT